CTGGAACAAATTCTGAACTTTGCTACAAAATATCATACACCGTATACACCGTATACATATCACGATACTGACCACATTACAACTCTCTTTCTCCTAGATCCCCTTGTAAATTAGCTTTGATTAGTCTGTCCTCGAGTATGCACATGTACTCCATAGTGTCCACATATACACAGTCCTCAGGGGCACTTAGAATATCCTTCCAGATTTCTGTCCCCCTGGTGAGGAAGGCAGAGCCATGGTGCAGAGAAGGAATGAAGCTGGTAAAGCAGGTGAAGTGACCTTGCCTTGTTTAATGCCAGAGTCTACCCTCCCAGCTGCAAGTTTCCTTTCCAAGCTGTCTGCTTTCTCAAGAAGCTGGCTGAGGGGCTGGTCACAAGCTGTCCCACGTGGGAGAGTCTTAGCAAGAAGCTATGGCTGAACATTTTTAGATACATTTATAATTTGTACAACAATGTTCAGAAAGTGCACAAATATTTGTCAATGAGTGTGGAAGCAAGAAGTTTCATGATCCAAATAATTTGCATCTTAAATACTTGACTTAATGAGTATGGAGACTCTGGAGATGAGAGAGCCTGATCCTCAAGGTGCTACCTACAGACTGTTCACCTCAGAGTTGGGGTGGGTGGAAACACTCGGCCCCAGGCATAGTCTTGTCTTGTGCTACAGCTTCCATTACATGCTTTTCCTGACTGTTACGGGAATCAAACAGAAGATGTTGCTTCTGGCAGCACTCAGTGTCCTAACGAGGAGTGAATCTCTTGTTCCCAGCAGGCACAATCTGGTGTTTTGAGGAAGCAAAGACAGGCATGTTTTTCTCTCATGGCATCTACTCCCCTTGCAGTAATCACATCTCAGTTCTTCAATCCGTGGTCTCTTCTAGACATTATTGCTTTCTGGGTATTCTGGTTTTTCCCCCAACTTCTGATTATTTGTCCATGAAAGATTTCCAAGGGGACAAGAAGCAATTGAAAACACTTTTTCTATACTCTTCTTACCTTTATTTGTTAAAATCATAAACATCACTACCAAGGAAAGTCTAGGTGAGTTGTTCTAAGTCACTGATCCCTGAAATGGACACACTTTGAGTGATCAACTAGTCATGATGTTTTAGAGCTTGGAGGCTAGAGATCATCTGGTCCACCCCCTCATTTTGTAGATGAGGACACTGAGCTGTAGACACCTAAGGAAACTGTCCAAGGACATATATACGTGCCAGGGCTATTGACAGTTTCATAAAGCCATAAAAAGTATCAACCAAGATTCTACATATCCAGTTGATAACAGTCACAGATACAGCTTCCAAGTAATAAATTCAGTCTTCACTGTTTTAAAGTTTTGTGATAATTCGACCTGAGCCAGGCCAAAGTTTACTTCAAACACTATGAAAGAAAAGCTTACAAAGCAATTAATGGTATAAAAAAGATCACAAAACATCAAGTTTACCTATGTCTAGTAACAAACTGTTTAAAGGACATTTGCCTTTAACTACATGCAACTATACTTCTGATTTAAAAACAAATCATTAAAATGGGCCTTGCAAAACTTCAGCTTAGAGTCATCTTGTTGATTATTTAATCCTTATTAAATACTTACAATTTTAAAAATTATTTCTTTTAAACAATGAGCCTAAGAACTTTCATTGATCAAGCCTGATTATCCCTTCCATTGACTCAGAATTAGAAGGGTTTAACTGCAGGGCTTCAAAGCAAATCAGAAATTGTGTGACAAGGCCAACTCTTCCAGAACAACTGCCCTCATTCACCTTGAACGAATCTTGGACTATTTTGCTTTGATGAATAGGGAGGGCGGAGTGTTCAGGAATTTGTTTTCCCCCCCGCAAGTACTGATGCAGTACATTTAATGGCAACCCCTATTTATACCCATCAAAATTTCTTCAGATGAAAACTGACAAGATAAGTCACTACCAGGCACTGGGTCTTTCAGAGGAAGTACCTTGCCCTTCCTATCTGTGGCCCCACACACCATCATCCTAGGCTATCCTATTCTGTCATTCAGCTCTCTGGGAAATAGCAAACGTGACAAGATTTGGATTAAACTCTGGACCCCTAGCAAGACACTCAAGAAAAGTCTGATCCTTTCTTCACTGCAAAATCAAACCAATGCCTTGTGGAAAGTTCTTTCCCTCATTTAGGACAGAGAATATTTTCTGGTGGTAAGTACTTGTCAGAGAATCTGGCTTTGAGCTGGTTGCTTGCAGTGAAAAGACATTTTTTGTGTCCCCTATGATTTTATCTCCCTCTTCCTTCCCTTGCATCTAGGGTTGCCAGGTAAAATACAGGGTGCCCCAGGGAAGTTGAATCTCAGATAAAGAACAAATATATTTTTAGTACAAGAATGTCCTATGCACTATTTGGAACATAGTTCTATTTTATTTTTTTAATTTTTATTTTTTTAAAGATTCTATTTATTTATTCATGAAAGACACACACAGAGAGAGAGGCAGAGACACGGGCAGAGGGAGAAGCAGGCTCCACTCAGGGAGCCCGACGTGGGACTCGATCCCGGGTCTCCAGGATCATGCCCCGGGCTAAAGGCGGTGCTAAACCGCTAAGCCACCCGGGCTGCCCCGGAACATAGTTCTACTTTAAAAACCTATTTGTTGATGATCTGCAATTCAAGTTTCCCTGGCTGTCCTGTATAGATTATTTGTCTGTGTAGCTTTTTGTTTTTCTAAATCTGGCAACCCTGATTTTATTCTCCCAACACGGCTTTGTTCTTTCTCCTAAAATTTTCTAAAATTGGGCTTTCTCCCCATTTCCATTGCACTTCTTAAAGACAGTTTTTTCCCCTTTTCCTTCTGCTCTTGTTTGGTGGTGGCAGGGCATTAATTTTTAGTGATTTTGGATTGTGATGGGCAGCAGCAGCCTTCTGTATAAAGGGGCTCAGAGCCATACATCAGGTGAAATTTCAATAGGGCGTGTGTGAAACCATCTCTTCTTTTTTTTTAAGATTCTACTTATTTATTCATGAGAGAGAGAGAGAGAGAGAGAGGCAGAGACACAGGCAGAGGGAGAAGCAGGCCCCATGGAGGGAGCCTGATGTGGGACTTGATCCCGGGATCACGCCCTGGGCTGAAGGCAGGCGCTAAACCACCGAGCCACCCAGGCGTCCCTCATCTCTTCTTAATAAAAAAGATTTTATTTATTTATTGAGAGAAAGAGAGAGCACGAGGGGGGTGCAGAGGGAAAAGCATATTCCCCACTGAGCAGGGAGCCCAACATGGGACTCGATCCCAGAAACCTTGGATCATGACCTGAGCCAAAGGCAGAGGCTTCACCTACTGAGACCCTCAGGTGCCCCAAGCCATCTCTCCTGACGTAATCTCCAAAGTACCCCCTTTGAGTTAAGCATTGCCTTCTCTAACTGGTACTTCTAAAACACCCCTGGGAAACATTAACAGAAGTTACTCATAGCTTAGTAGAAATGGTAGCAATGATTTTTAAATTTTTATCTCCATCTAATTTTTAAAGCCCTTTTTGGAAGTATAACATGCATACAGGAGTGTGCCCAGTTAGTAAATGCACAGCTGGGTGAATTTTCCCAAAGTAAAACTACTCAGATAAGCAGCACCCAGATTAAAAAAAAAAATACAACCTTAAGAGGGAAATCCTGTCACATGCTACAATATGGATGAACATCATACTATATGATATAAACCAGTCACCAAAGGGTAAATACTGTAGGATTCCACCCATGTAAGGTATCTAGAGTAGCCATATTTATAGAAATAAAAAGCAGAATGGTGGCTACCAGGGACTGGGAACAGGAAAAATGAGTTATTGTTTAATGGGCACAGAGTTTCAGTTTTACAAGATGAAAAAGTTCTGGAAACCTATTTCACAACAAGGTGAACACACTTAACACCACTGAACTGCACGCTAAGAAACAGTTAAGGTGGTAAATTTTATGATGTGTAATGTTTTATCACAGTAAAAAAAAGAAAGAAAGAAAGAAAAAGAAAAAACAAACACAATATTACCAGCTCCCCCAGAAGCCCTCCTGCCCCTGTCACTTCAGCCTGTCCAGGAAAACCACTCTTCTGATCATCAGAAAGAGCCTGTCTGTTCTAAAAAGATCCTAGAGTTAGTAAGAAAGAAAGTGTGCCAACCCCCTTTCCTTCTGACAGGGAGACTTCTCAAAATCAGACAAGGATTTGGTCGTGCCTAACGCATTGCAAACGCATTGCAAACGCATTGCCTGGCATATAGCAGAAGTAGCTCAAAATTGCACGCTGATTCCACGTGGACGCCGGCCGGGGAGATGCTGAGGGAAGGGAAGGGCACCTGAGGAAGAAGAGACAAGTGCTGGAAACAAACACCAGCTGCTTTGCAATCTTGCCAAAGGTTAGCCCTGCATACTCATTACAGGTTTATTCACTGATGATGCTTTTTTTTTCTTTTTCACTGTGTTGACAACATGACCTGTAGGTTCATATTTGAATCCAGCTCAAAGTACATATTTTTGTTACTGTGTGCACAGCACTATGTGCTTATTTTCTTTCCAGGGTGTTTATTGCTACTATGTATGGCAGGAGACAAAGCAGGTGTGCTTGCTAATGCCGGCCTCCAAATTCCTCAGGGACAAATTCAAAACTCAAGGAAATTGAGGTTCGCCTCATTTTGCAACTGCCATAATATGTGATCCACTGGACTTATTCACTATGTCCTTTTCCACGATGGCACCAGATGTTCTTTTTTTTTTTAAAGATTTTATTTATTTATTCATGAGAGAGACACACACAGAGAGAGAGAGAGAGAGAGAGAGAGAGAGAGAGAGAGAGAGGCAGAGACACAGGCAGAGGGAGAAGCGGGTTCCATGCAGGGAGCCCGATGTGGGACTTGATCCCGGAACTCCAGGATCACGCCCTGGGCCGAAGGCAGGCGCTAAACCGCTGAGCCACCCAGGGATCCCAAGCACCAGATGTTCTAATGAACAAATGACAACACTGTAAGTGCTGATCAAGAAAATGGATAAAATTCAGCAGATGATGGTTTTTCCTCATGATAGTCTGTGGATGACACCGTGGGCAGCAGCGGTAACACCAATGGCTCAGCTGATGCCAGGAAGGGAAAAAAGAAGAAGAAAGAAAATGGATACAATTGTTATTTTAGGCCACAAATGGTAGTGACTGGGGCAGAGTTCAACAATCTACTTATAGTCTTGAAGCCAAGGAAATATGATGCACCACTCTTTGATGTCAGATGGCAGGCAGATATGCTGGGGACCTTGGAAACAAAAATGGTATTGTCATATTATGCTAAGGATTAGTTATTTAGATTAGTTATTGGGTCTCAGACCCAATGATTCCTTTAATGACATATATTCAGGAGTCCTCCTGCACTAACCTGAAATAAAACCCATAGGGAATACCACATACCCCTATGCATAATTGTAAAAAAAAATCAACATAATACCCTGGCAGAAAGGACAAATAGAAAGAAAGTAATGTATAATAAAATAACATACACCTCAAAATTAAACTCTCAGGCATGGCAATCCTAGAAGACAAAATAAAGTAGCCAAATGCTTACACTATCATAGCATCGGTGTGAGTGACAGCTCAAGGCCAAGACTGACACGGGTATGCTTTAGTGGCAACTTGAAGGACAAGATCAGTACTGCCCATGGTGTTATGACTTCCCAGCATGGTGAACAACACTGGAAAAGTTCTAAGCAATACTAAAGGCAAGTATCCTTCAATTTATACTGTGCCTGCATTCCTAGAAGATTAAATGCTTATTTTTACCTACATGATGTTTCAGCAGGATATCTGAAGGTCATTCAGAACAGGGGGTGATTTCCAGTTCTAGCATCTCTGACCCCAGCCTTTAAATGTCAATAGTGCTCCCCAAGCATTGTGACAACAAAATGCCACTATTGATTTCTTAAGTCCACTCCTACCTCGGGACATTACCATCTCCTATTTAGTATACCTGATTTACAGTAAAATATTTTATTTGCAGAAGCATTTTTAAAATCTTAAAATACATCACTCAAAAATTGACCCATATCCTCAGCAATTCCCTCAACTATGATTCATACCCCCTCACATTAAAAAAAATTGATGTTGAATTTTACAATCCCAACAAAAACGAGTTTCCCAAGATCTGAGCCAGTTAGATCACCAAGAGAGTCAATGAATAAAACTACATAGCATTTTTGGGGAGGATACTTACTTAGTAGACTAGTCATTAATAGGTTGACTAAAGGAAAAAAGAAGAGCAAAACCCTGCAGGTTGTCTCATCAAGAAAAGCAATTTAATGAGAAGGTGTCATATACATGTAGGGTAATGATAAATATTGTAATTATTGTTTTGTTCTACTTTTGCAGTTATCCTGTTTAGTTGTGCTTTTCAAAAGAAACTCAGTAATTGTGAAAATTCTTTATTAGCGGCATAAATATAAATCAAAAATCCTACACCCACTATGAGTTCCAGTCTGCAGAGCACTGCCCTCAGGTTGGGTTTCATGTGTTTTGGGGCCAGTGGTGGGGTTGGAGCATCTTGGTTCTAGCTCAGAAGAGCTCGCTGCATTCACCTCTTCCCAACTGTGCACTGAGTGATGTCAAGTTACTAGCCTGAAATCAGTAGTGATGTAAGTATTTGCATGGAAACTGGCCAATACTACATATTAGGTTCACCACCACCCACACACCCTTGCTTCTAGAGAGTCTGTTGTTAAACAGTCACCAGACACCATTGCATGGGTCTGGCGCCTAGGAAAGAACAACCCGTCTTAGAGTACAAAACAAGACTTGGTTACAAACTCTTGGAAAAGAACAGTCCAAACTGGGCTCTTTAACATTTCATCAGATTCTAGTAAAGTACCAAGTGATGACTCAAAAATGACCAAGGAAGCAAAACTAAACGAAAACATTAATTCACTAGTATCCAAATATTTATCTAGTACCAACTGGGTACCAGTCTCCTTAAATTTTTTTCAGCAACAAGGCAAGACACAAATTAAATAAGTATATAATGTGCAAGGGACCAGTGTGTACGCTGCCAGTTTAAAAGATAGTTAAACAATGACACTAGTATTTTTCACCTGCATCAAAGGGAATACTAACATTTAATAGGCATTGTGCCAGGTATTAAACAAATATTGTCTTGTTTGATCCTCACAACCACCCTGTAAGATAATCATTAGGTTGAGCCATATGAAATTGCTGATAGTTGACCAATTTTGACCTCTACAAAAGGCAATTTCCACCTAAATTATTTTCTCTGTTTAATAGACAAGGAAGCCAAGATCCCAATATACCAACTTGTCAAATGTCAAACAGCTAGTAAGTGACAAAGCTAGGATTCCTTGCAGACCAGAATGGTTCCAAAGGCCCTGGACTTCCTGCCACACACAGTTCTCAAATGAAAGAATTGTTAGGCACATTTGATGCACTGCACACATTCAAATAAATCTTAGAATTAAACCATTTTGAAATAACTTCTGGTAAGAGAAATTAAATTAAAGACATGCATTTTGCTACGTAACTAAACACTGGCTTCCTGGGTTTCTTAATCATAAATGATTAGAAATAATCATAATTGTTGATACATTTTAGAGACTGAAAAACATCTTAATAGAGATTGCAACCATTGTTTAATTTATTCTTAAAAACTCAAATTAATGTTTGTACTTAAGAAATTCCATTAATGTTCAATTTATACTTGAGAAATTAATGTTTAATTTCTTTTTTTGTTGTTTAATTTCTACTTAACAAATGACTTTCTTAAAATGCTATGCTGGGATCCCTGGGTGGCGCAGCGGTTTAGCGCCTGCCTTTGGCCCGGGGTGCGATCCTGGGGACCCAGGATCGAGTCCCACGTCGGGCTCCCAGTGCATGGAGCCTGCTTCTCCCTCTGCCTGTGTCTCTGCCTCTCTCTCTCTCTCTCTCTCTCTCTCTCTCTCTCTCTGTGACTATCATAAATAAATAAAAATTTTAAAAATAAAAAATGCTATGCTATTGCTAGTACAAACCACCAAAGGTCTTATATTCACAGTCCTTGATTCTGAATCCACTAGAATGATCAGTACTTCAAAAAAGAATTACAGTTATGAATGTTTGAACCAGAGGATATAGGAGTGTTTCAATTTTTAAAAATTGAAATACGGTAGAATTATGACATAATACATATACATTCATGTATATGTGTATACATTCATGTATATGTGTATATATATATATACATTATATATATATATAGTTGAAACAAAAGTTTCATGAAAAATTTTACTCTTGGTATATGCTATATTCTCTAATACTTTCTTTTTTCTTCTTTTTTTTTAGAGAAAGAGAGCATGGGGGTGGGGAGGGGGAGGGGCAGAGGAAGAGAGAGAATCTTAAACAGGCTCCATGCCCAGCACGAGGCAGGTCTCTCACGACCCTGAGATCATGACAGGAGCAGAAATAGAGTCAGATGCTTAACCGACGGAGTGACCCAGGTGCCCCTCTGATATTTTCTATCCTACCCTGTTCTATTTCATTAAAAACTTCTGCCCACAACTTAGTATATCATTTTTGCAATTCACTAATGTGTTGTGACCTGCAGTTTGAAAAACAATGTCTTAGAGACCTTTATTTTGGAGACCTCATCTACATCCCCCATTTTATTTCTTTCCTTCTAGGTTACTCTGTTCTTTGCATCTATAACCTTGACCCCCCACTTACCAGTTTCTCTTCTTCCTTCCTTGAACAGATACTTACAAATAACCTGCTAGGTGCCATCAACTGTGTGCTAAGTGCTGGAGACAGGGCACATTTATATTCACATCCTGGGATTCCAACATCCATCCAATCATCATGCAAATAAATGCAAACTTCCAACTGTGCTTACTGCTATCAAGGACAGGTTCCAAGAGAGGGGGATTTGACCTAGTTAGGGAAGACTTCTGAGGAAATGGCACTTGAGTTGGGATATAAAGATCTGATCTAGTCCAATCTAATCTAGCCTATTCTGTTTCATTAAGAAAATGCTTATTTCCATCCGCTAATCTACTTTGAGCAATTACTAATTTAAAGTAGCAACTGTCTCCATTCACCTAGCATAACATTTTCAAGGGTCATCCAAGTGGCAGTATTGTATGGATATAGCACATTTTGCTTATTCATTTGTCAGTTGATGGACATTTGGGTTGTTGCCACTTTTCGCTATTGAGGAATGCTCCTATGAACTTTTGGGTAGGAGTTTCTGTATGGGCATATGCTTTCGTTTCTCTTGGTTATATACCTAGGAGTGAAATTAGCTGGGTCATATGGTAACTCTAATTTTAACACTTTAAGAAACTGCCAAAATGTTTTCTAAAGCAGCTGCACCATCTTACAGTCCCAGTAGCAGTGTATAAGGGTTTCCATTTCTCTATATCCTTGTCAACGCTTGTTTATTATCTGATTACTTGATTATAACCATTGTAGTACAAGATGTGAAGCAGTATCTCGTTAGTTTTGGTTTGCATTTCCTCGATGGCTAATGATGTTGAGCATCTTTTCATGTGCTTATTGACCCTATGTTGTCTTTGGAGAAATATCTATTCAGATTCTTAACCTATTTTTAAATGGGCTATTTATCTTTTTATTACTGAGGAGTAAGAGTTATTTATACATTTTTATATCAGTTCCTTATTACATAAGTATTAGCAAATATTTTCTCCCTTTCTGTCAATTGTCTTTTCACTTAAAAAAAAAAGATGTTACTTTTAAGTAATCTCTACACCCAACGTGGGGCTCAAACTCATGACGCCAAGATAAAAAGTCATACACTCCACCGACTGAGCCAGCCAGGTGCCCTGTTCTTTTCACTTTCTTGATGGTGTTCTCTGATGCACAAACGTTTTGATTTGGTGAGATCCAATAACACCCCATCTTGCACCACACTTCCCTGATCATTACCTTCAACCATCATCTCTACTTTACTTCAGCAATGGACCTAGACCTCACCCTCAGAGTAAAACCCTTTGTCCTCCTAGCTTTCTCTCTACCTTGTTTCCATCTCACATGCTCCACTAAGCCTCTGAGACCTCCAATCCCAGAGTCTTCTGTTTTCTCCATTTGTCACACCCTCATCTACCA